GCGGGCCGGGCCGGGACCGCGGCGTCTGGGTCTGGGGCGCGGGCCGGGGCCCCATGGGTGCGGGCGCGTGCTGGGTGTCGCCGCGTCCGAACTCGAGTTTCCCCGCCGCGCCGGCGACGCTAGGCTTGGAAGGGAGCGGGCGCGCGGGCTGGGGACGCGCCACCCGTTTCCCCGGACGGCGCCCGGCGGGGAGGGGGCCAGGCGCGGCCGGGAGGGGGCGCTGCGTTTCCCCGGGCAGCCCCGCGGCCTCGCAGTAGGCAGGACTCGCACGCACTGGCTTGCGGGTCGAAACCACGGGGCGCGAGGCCGGGGCGCAGCGAGGCTCCCGCGCAGACTCCGCAGACGGCTGAGTCCCGACCCAAGCCCGCCTGCGTCCCCGACGACCGCAGGGGGCGGCTCCGTGTGCGGCGAACGCTCGGGACGCGCCTGCCCCGCTCCTGGGGCTCCAGCGCCCTTCGCTGTTGGAGGACACGCGGGCCCGGAACGCAGAACTGCGCTCCGAGCAGTGGGCAGCGTGGCCTGCGCAGCGTGGCCGGGGCCGGGGCGGGATCGGTGGCCGGTGTGTCCTTCACCCGGCACCGCACGACGCCCTGTCCCCGGCGCCCCGGCCCCGGGAGGTCGCTGGGCTGCGCGGACCGAGCTCCGAGCCGGGGGGCGGCGGACCCTGCGCTTGTGGACGCCACGGCGTCGAGGCTTAAGGGCCATGCGGGGGACGGGGTCTCGCCGGGGACAGAAACGCCAGAGCCGCTGGACCGAAGAGCGCACAGGCGCCCCACGGCCCTCCCGGGAGGGCAGACAGGGAGCAGCGGCGGGGTCGAAGACTGGGAGGGCATCCCGGACCCGGCAGGGGCGCCGCGGGCGCCGAGAGCTGTGCGCAAGACGTGCGGGACACCTAGGACTGCGGCCCGAGATGAGAGGGGCCTGCACAGGGACGAGGGACGGGGCGCACGCGGGCGAGGGTGCGGATCCGCGCGAGCCGCTGCCACCCCATGCCGCGTCCAGGCGCAGGCGCGCTTGTGAACGATCGGGCGAGCCCCACGCTCCCGGACCCGAGACCCTGCGCGCCGCGGAGGCCAGGCGTCAGGCGAGCTCGGGGAAGGAAAAAGGAGACAAAGTTAACGCCAGATTAAAGCATGTTCATATATTACACATAGAGTGTGACCCACGTAATTGGTGCCCTGCTGTGTATTGAACACCTGTAGGGCCACACGTGGGCATCCAGCCTTCAGCACCAGTATGCACCTGTGGAGCTATGCATGTGTGCAACCGTTTGATTCGTCCAGTTTGATTCGAATTTTACAGAAACGAGTAATAATTTAGTTCTAAGTATGTCGTGCAATATTTGGGAACATACTTGTACTAAAAATGATTTGTGGGACTAGGGATTTAGTAAGGTCCTGGGTTCGGTCCACGGCAACAAAAAATTGAAAACTAAAAATGATCTGTTGAGCCGGGTGTGGTGGCGCATGCCAGTACCATCAGCACTCGGGAGGCTGAGGCAGGAGGATCGTTGTGAGTTTGAGACCAGCCTTGCCTACAAAGTGAGCTCAAGGCCAGCCTGAACTGCATAGCGAGACCCTGTCTCAAAAGAAAAAAAGAAAGAAAGAAAGAAAGAAAGATTCGTTATTTATCTCAAGTTCAAAGTTGCTGTGCACCCAGCCCGGCGGGTCTCCTCCCCAACCTGCAGCGCTGACTGCCATTTGGCTGGCTCTCGCCTTCCAGGACTTCCAGCCCCACAATGCCGCGCGGCCGCCCGCGGCGTCCATTGGCTGAAGCTCACTTCCGGTGTCTCACTTCCGGCCGCGGCTGGCGGTTGCGGGAAGCAGTCGAGTCCTTTTGGGCTTCTGATGCGGTTCGGGACCCGCGGCCAGCGCGGCTATGAACTTCTCAGAGGTTTTCAAGCTCTCCAGCCTGCTCTGCAAATTCTCCCCGGACGGCAAGTACCTGGTGAGCGGCGGCGCGCCACCTGCGCCCGCGGCGGGAGCTGCGGAACGGGCGCGCTTCAGCGGCTAGGGCCGGGCGGACCCTAGAAAGGGAGCGCAGGGCGCGTGGAGGGCGGGGCCGGGCGGCGACCCCGCGCAGGTGTTCCGAGGGGGGCGGGGTCGGAGGAGCGGGGGCCTGGAGGGCGGGGCGGGGCCTGGAGGGCGGGGCGGGGCCTGGAGGGCGGGGCGGGGCCTGGGCCTCAGTTGGAACAGCGCTGGGGGGTCCAGTTGGCTTGCCTTTGAGGGCACTGCAGGTGTCAGCTCCTCGTTATTTTATCGCGAAGGGTGCAGAGATCGTTCATTTGCAGCAGTGCGGCCGCTTTGTTGTCTTCTCTGCCTTTCCTTTCGCCTCCCGCAGTGTTTAAGTAACTGGCGCTCTATCCTGAGGCCGCTGGGGTTGCGGCGCTCATTCCGCCGCGGAGCGGGGCTTAGGTCAGACCCGAGCGCGAAGTCTGGAAGTGCACCGGTCGGCAGTGTGTGTCCTGGCCGGGGCGCAGGTCGTTGACGCGGGGGGCTGGGAAGGGGAAAAGCGGGCCTCACCGAAAGCGTGCTTCGTTTCCCAGCGACGCGGGGATCGCCACGCTGCTGGACCTCGTAGCGACACCCTGAGACAGTGAGCGAAAGTAGACCTGGAGCCGAGCTGTGTTCGCAAAGGCAGAGAACCTGTGGCGTGCGTGCGTGCAGCGCCGCAGGAGGCTGCTGGGTGTCGTTCGGTGGAAGCTCCCTCCTCCCCCACCCCCGGCTGGACCCGGCGCCGCTGGGCTAGCGCGAGCTGCAGACGTCCCCAGCTCTTTGTTTTTGCGGAACCGGGGATTGAACTCAGGCCCTCCCTTGCACTTGCCAGGGAAGCGCTTATTCCGCTGAGCCATCTCCCGGGCCCCCCAGCTCTTTGAGACAGTTTGAGTTCCCCTCCTCCCTGGGGCGTGGCTCGAGTTTTGGACCCTCCTGCCTCAGCCTCCCAAACAGCTGGCGTTGCTGGCACATGGCCTTTCGCCCAGAGCGCTTATGCTCTTGAACTATCTCCCCGGCCCCTATTAACGTTCCTTTTATCTTTGTCTAGACCAGTGTCTGAAAGGTGAACCTTTTAGAGCTTTCCACAAGACCCAGCAGCCTTCAGTGGTGCAGCGCACGTGCCACAGGTTCCCCGCCCTGCTCTAGACCTTTGAGAACACAACTCGGCTCTAGGTTTCCATTTATTTATTTATTTATTGGGTTCAGTGTCTCGTTACTCAGGTCAAATTCGTAGTGATCCTCCTGCCTCAGTCTCCTGAGTGCTGGGATTAGAGGCTGCACCACCATGCCCTGTTTCAGGGCAGTGCAGCGCATCTGGGGCTCAGGGCCCCCATGGCATGTGGTACCAGGGATCAGATCTGGGTCCTTGCGTTTGCCAGGCAGGTGCTTATGCTGCTGAGCTAATGCCCCAGCCCCGTGTTTCCTTTCTTTATGAAGTATTGTTTTAAGTCACACACAGTGCCATTCAGCCACAAAACAGAAAATGTCATTCACTCCCGGAATGTGATGTGTTAGTCTGCCCGCACTCCATAAATTAAGAGGGCTTTTTTTTTCTTTCATGTATGAACATTTCAGTGAATGATAAAGAGATTAGGAGTTGGAGATGCACCTTAGTGGTAGGTGTGTGCCTAAGCGTGTGAGCGTGCGTGTGAGGCCCCGGATTCAACCCGAGGTGTGTGGGGCACTTTCCTAATGTCGTGAAACACTTGGTAATAGTGCTGGCGAACCCAAGGGCGAGCACGTTCCCGAAGCGCCCTCTCCTCGGTACTGCCCAAAGCAGGCCCTGTCTGCAGCGCAGCGTCCTGCGGTGGGTTTCTGCTCATCCCTCCCAGGGTTGGTGAAGTACTCATTTTGTGAGGCAAGCGCTTATCCTGCTGAGCCGTCTCCCGGCCCCTGGTCACCATTTTCAGAGCTGCAATGTGGCAAACCAGATACTGTGATATGTTTGTCTGTCTGTGGGCTCCCTTTTTTTTCCATGGAAAATAAATGTAGCTTTCTTGTTCAATGGGAATCAATAAACTAATACTTCAGATTGGCTGTGGCAAGTACAGAATGAACTAGCACAGCAAAGTCAGCTCTGGCGGTCTCGGCTGTGGCTTAATAGGCAGCCCGCAGGTGGATACTCAGGTGTGGGAAGGTTTGTTCCATGTGGCCCCAACTGGACTGTGTCTCGACGAAAATACACTGAAACCTGAACCGCTTTCTTACTGGGAGCAGGAGTAAGCTAGTGCAGGAAAATGAGCATTTGTGAAGCATCTTTGCAACCGCACAACCTAAGCAGCAGCTAATAACTCTTTTTTTGGTGGTGATGCTGGTGGTGTGGGTTTTTTTTTTTTGTTGCTGCTGTTTGTTTTTGCATATTTTGATTTCTTTGGTTTTGTTTTTTTGCGACTGGGTCTGGCTACGTGGTTCAGGCTGGCCGTGAACTCAACTGTGTAGCCCAGGAAGTGGCACTTCTGCCTCAGCTGAGTGCTCCAATTCCAAGTGTCTGCCCCCGCGCCTGGCTTGAACGTTTGGTTCTTAACTTTTTTTGTTGTTGTTGTTGGTATTTAGTACAGTGTCTACAGGTCTCACTACACAGATCCAACTTATAGTGGTCCTCCTGTTTTCAGCCTCCCAAGAGCTAGGATTACAGGCACGCACCACAGTGCCCGGCCTCAGTCACCATCTCAGCTCGCCTCAGGGGTGGGGCAGACACGTCACACCTTAACTCTTTCAACTTGAGGAAACAGTCGAAAAGTGACAGAGTTAGGAAAGGAACTAGTGCCCTCTGGCTGTCGCTCGGGGCTGAGGGAGTCTAACAGGTGCGCTGCTGCGTGCTCGGCTGCGTGCTTTCCCTTTGTCCTAATATGTGAATGTGGCGTCTATTAGGTGAATTCTCCTTAAAAAAAAAATTCCATTATACTATCAAAGCAGTAGGATGTGAAACTTTAATTTCATCTTGTAATCAACTCACCACCTCGGGAATGAACCGGCAGCCGAGTGAGGCAAAGCTGGGTGGCTGTGAAAGGTGCTGCGCAGGAGAGACGAGACAGCCTCGGGCGCCCGGCCTGTCGCCTTCCTGCAGGGTGGGCGCCAAGCGCTCCCTTCCCCCGGTGCTGCAGGCCTCCTGTGTCCAGTACCGGCTGGTGGTCCGGGATGTGAGCACCCTGCAGATCCTGCAGCTGTACACCTGCCTGGACCAGGTGCAGCACATGGAGTGGTCGGCAGACTCCCTCTTCATCCTGTGCGCCATGTACAAGCGGGGGCTGGTGCAGGTGAGCACCACAGGCCAAGGGGCAGGACACCCCCGGGTCACGAGGCATGGCGCGCTTTCCACGCGGGCCTGCGCTGGTCTGGCCCCAGAAGGGCAGGCCATGTGCGACAGTGCGCTTCTGTCTCGTGACTCCAGGTCTGGTCTCTGGAGCAGCCAGAGTGGCACTGCAAAATCGACGAGGGATCGGCAGGGCTGGTGGCCTCGTGTTGGAGCCCAGATGGGCGCCACATTCTGAACACAACCGAGTTCCACGTAAGTGCAAGCCACTGTCCACTGCCCCAGCCAGTGTGCCCCGTTCTCAGCTCCTCACATAGCCCAGAGCGGGAAATCCAGGGTTGGGCAGTGGGTCTGCTCTGTGTTGGAGCGCCGCAAGTCCGGAGCAGTTGCGGGGCACAGAGCCGCACATCCGACACCCCGTGCTCTGGGAGGCCAGGGCAGGAGCCGCGCAGGCTTGAGCCCAGCCCAGGTAATTGGCAAGAGCTTGACTCGAAGGATGAATAAAAGGTACCAGGGGAGTTAGGCTTTTGTGTTATGGCTTGTGTCCAGTTGTCCTCTCAAAGCCTCGCGTGGTCGTGAGGTGGACTTCTAGAGGTCGTGATTAATGATCAGAGGCTGGGATCGTGGGTGTGAGTGCTGGCCTGGGGCATGGCCTGAGCGCCTGCAAGCACGGGGAGGGGCTTGCCCGTGCCTCTGCCTCTGCCGCCGTCACCGCTCCTCCCTATTGGCTCTTGCTGTCCTGCTCCTCTCCGCTGCCATGAACTGCTGCCCTCTGCCCTGTGCCGCTCTGCCTTGGAGCCAGCTGAGTTCGGACGGAAACCCCCACTAACTGTGAGCTAAATAAACCTTGCCTGCCTTCGTTCTGGGTGTCGGGTGTTTTGTCCCAGCAACAAAACGTAAGCGAGACACTTTGTGAAGGCCCTGAGTTCAGTCACCAACAGCACATAGAGCAGCACAGGAGGAGCTTGTCTAGAAGCGCGTCTTCCCCAGCCGAGACGGCACCGTGCGCCTTTTGGTCACAGGGTCGCTTCCGCTTTTCCCTTGTGTTGCTGTAAGCGTCAGCACCACGCCAATGAATTGTTAAGCTTCTGTCAGGTAGCTCAACGTGCAGTAGGACTGTCCCTTTCTGATGCCCTGGAAGTCTGTCAGATGCTTTGTTTTGCTTTGTGTTTTGTGATAAGGTCTTGGTATGTAGTTCAGCCTGGCTTTAAGCTCACTGTGTAGCCCAGACTGGTCTCAGATACACAGCAAGCGTCCTGCCTCAGCCTCCAAGTGCTGGGATTGCGAGGATACCACACCCCGTCTATATGTTTTTGAGGCTATGCTGTTTGCCTCAAATAGACTTAAAACTGTTTCTAAGGGGCCACAGGGATAGCTCAGTGGTCTAAGTGCCTGCCTAGGCGAGCGCAAGGACCCAGCTGTGATCCCCGGTGCCACGTGCTGCGCTAGCCCCGTCCCGGGTGCATCAGGCGGGCCACCAATACCGGGCATGGTGGCAGTGCCTGTAATCCCAGTGCCGGGGAGGCTGAGGGAGGAGAATCACTGGAGTCTGAGCGTGTAGTGAGATCTGGTACCAGATACATTAAAAACAAACCTGTTTCAAAGCCATTTTCGTGGTGAGACTTTCCACCACTTTCGCTGCCATTGGGCCCTTCATTATAAAGCATTTCTCTTACTTTGGTTTTAAGCCTGTCTTATGGGATTTAATAAGGCAGCCCCGTCTGTGTGATTCATGTTCTCATGGAACACCTATTTCATTTTTTATCTCTTTAAATTTTAGTGCCCAAGTTGTAAATAGCGCAGAATTAGTTTTAAAATAAAACCAGGGGGTTTTCGACTGAAGAATTAGATCCTGTTTCATCGAGGTGGTGCTGCTGGAGAGCGAGCAGTTCCTGAGCGAGCTGACCAGGCTCTTCCCGAAGTGCCGGGCGTCGGGCCGCGTGTTCATCACCCTGAAGAAATGTGATGGTCGAACCAGATCGATCCCAAAGAAGGGCTCTGTGGAGGGCTGTGAGCCTGCAGATAACAAATGTCTGTTGATAGCGACGGATGGGAAAAAGAAGGTCAGCACTGTGGTGAGCTCTAAAGAAGCGAATAAGTTTCAGATGGCCTATTCAAGCCTGCTGAGGGCTAAGATGGACGGGCTGAAGAAGAGAGACAAGAAGAACAAGAGTAAGAAGGCCAAAACACCACAGTGAAGGGCTCTGGGTTCTCTGCTCTTACCAGTTGACCAACAGATTGCTGTTTTTCCTTTTGGCCACAAAGCTTGATTTTTGGCTTCCCTGTGGCAACGATTTTCATGTAAGATGAGGGTCATTCTGGAGAGAAAAAGGTTATAGTGTACAGGGTAGTTGTAGTAAGAAACTTGCTCAGATCTGTGCTGCGTGGTTGTGTTCTTAGTTTTCAAAGGCCTCTGTAACCAGTTCCCTGAAGAGCAATTTATCATTAAACATTTGTTTCCCAGAAAAAAAAAAAATAAAATAAAATAAAATAAAACCCGGGCTGGGGCACACAGTGGCAAACACTTGCTTGGCTTGTGTGTGAAAATCCAGAGCCACGTGGGCAGCTGCCCCACCTCCTGCAGGAGCACAGCTCAGGGTGTTCTGCGCATGGCCCCATGCCCTCCTGTCTGTCCCTTCCTGTTTGCCTCCTTGCCCACTCTGGCCAGCCATCTCTCTCTGTAGCTTTACTTCGAAGTCCACATCAGTGGCACTGCCGACACACAGGGCCCATCCAGGCCTTGATGTTCCTGTCCCTTCCACCGTGTGGTCCCTGCCCTGACTGAGCTGTTATCTGCTGGCCAGGGTCCCTGGGAGGTCTGCTGCCCAGGGGAGCTTGCTTTCCCAGCTGTCACTGTAAGTTAATAGAGGCGACAAGTGACTGTTGAGCTATTTTGGCAGGGGCAGGAGCAGGGATCCACCCCAGGGCCTTAGACCTACTCAGCAAATGCTTGGCTGAGCTGCCTCCCAGCCCATCTTGAGGCTGGGCTTGAACCTGCTGTTCTGTAGGCTCAGCTTCCCAGAGTGCTGCAATTGCAGGCATGGGCCGCCACGGCACCCGGCTGAGTTACGTTGTAAGGTTATTTCTGGTGAAGGCGGAAGTGTGGCTGAGTGTGCTTTCTCTGTTTGGCCCTGTGTTTCTGAAAAGGAGCCCCCGGAGCTGTGAGGATGGGCAGTGGCCCCGCAGCCTGGAATGGGGCTGTGCCCAGGAGGCGGCGACCCCAGCTCTCCTGCCCTGGGGGGCGGCTGTCCTGTGCTGCACGCCTCACGTCCTGCACCCTGTGCCTCGGGCAGCTGAGCTGCCACAAGGGCAACTGGGTCCCCCCGGAGTTTGGACCCCAGGCCTGCTGGCAGGATGCCACCCTGGGCCCAGCTCAGCAGGGGCCCTGGAGGACCAGCCCTGGTACCTGCTCCCCATTCCCTGGTGACAAACAGGCCCTCAGCCCTAAACCCAGGACCTGTGCACCCGTGCGTGGCAGGCACTTGGCCGTGGTCCTGCACAGCCCACTTCCTGTGACCCAGAGAACGGTTGCTTCACTCTTCACCTCTGAAGCACGGGCAGGTGGCGCTTTCAGGATTCCCTCGGGAAGGAGCCCGCGCTGCACCACCTCAGCAGGCTGCACCCTTCCCGAGGAGGTCGCACCTGCCCGCAGGCCGGTCTGTGCCAGGTGACCCTAGTGGGAGGGAGGAGAACTCTACCTCGACACCGAGAGCAGGCAGCACTGGGCCAGGGCTGGCCCCACCCAGGGACTTGCCCTCCTGGCGGCCTGCACTCTGTTCTTTCCCAGCTGCTGGGACCAGCCTGGCCCACAGCCACCAGCTGGACCCTTGCTGCTGTGTGCCACGTGTCGGGGCAGAAGCAGGGGAGGTGCCCAGCAGTGGTGGCTCCCGCTTGCTTGTAGCAGCTACAGGCACAGAGCCCTTGGTGTCCCTGGTGTAAGTCCCCAGAACCAGGCTGGGTCTACACAGCAGCCTCTCTGCTTCAGAGAGGAGGCAGCACCATAGTTTTCCTGTGTAAATATGTTCCCTGGTTCCCTCCTCCCTCCCTTTCTCTTCGGTACTTTTGAGACAGGGTCCTCGCTCTGCCCCCCCAGTCTGGCCTGGAGCGCTCCCTGACGCTCCTGCCTGAGCCTCTGGAGTGCTGGGATTACAGGCATGTGCCCCACACTTTCCCCAAGAGGACGAGGCTTTGCAGGCCGTGAGAGCTTGGAAAGAGCAAGCTGAAATGCACTCACGTTGACCTCGGGTCACTTGAATAATGTGGTTACGAACTAAAGACTAAGAGTGGTAAAAGGGGTGTGTGACCCTCGTCAGCGGGGACACATGGTGGGTGTGCTGAAGATGCTGAATCCACGCTGACCCCTTTCTCTCCCTCTTCCCGACAGCTGCGAGTAACGGTCTGGTCCCTGTGCACCAAGTCCGTGTCCTATATCAAGTACCCCAAAGCCTGTCAGCAGGGTGAGTCCACCGGAGCTCTGCCTGTGGCCCCGCTGCCTCTGTCCTAAGAGGGTGCTGTGGAAGAGGACACAGCACAGTGCTCCTGGGGGGCCCACCTGCGGAATGGGGGCTGCCCCCCCGCTGCCTGGGTGGCTATGCTTGACAGGCTCCGCCCGACTCGGCTGGCACCAGAGGAAGGAAGCGTGACAAGGGCCCTCTGCTCACTCGGGACCCCTGAGCCCTCAGAGGGAAACGGGCCATGGGGCAGGCTAGCCAGGCGGAGTGGTGCCAGGGCTGCTGCGGCGTCTGTGCGACACAGCACGGTGGGCACTGCCCGGGCAGTCGTGAACCTGCTGTCCGCTTCCCCCGAGGGGGACAGGGCACAGGGCTCTCCATCTCCCAGCTCAGGGCCTGGCCAGCCGCGCTGCACCGCACTGTAGATTGCAGTTTGGAGTTCAAAGTGAAGAAAGCAAAGCGGTGAGCCCACGTGGGCTCCTCAGCTCTCTCTGGATGTCGTCTGGAAGTGTGGTGGCTCACGGGGCGCTGTGCTCCCTGAGTGACGGCGGTGACACCCGGGGCTCGTGGCGTCCGCGGTCTGTCTGCCACAGTCACCCACGTGGAGGGACCGTCCACAGAGCCTGCAGTTCCACTTTCTCGTGGTGTCTCCTTTGCTTAAGTAAAGTGCCCATTTCTGTCCGTTCTTCTATTTTGCAGACCAGGGTTGACCTGGGCCTCTTCCCCCAGCTGCCTCCACGCTGCTCACTCTGAGACAGGCTGATCTCCCCCTCCGGGTCTTCCTGCCTCGCCGGGGGCCTCGCCACGCCTGGCTCCTCGCGGTCCCTTGAGAGTGCCTGCTGTGCTCTCTGCTCTGGCCGCTTCCTGATGTCAGCATGCTTCTTGCGCAGGAATGGCGTTCACAAGGGATGGCCGCTACATGGCCTTGGCCGAGCGGCGGGACTGCAAGGACTTCGTGAGCATCTTCGTGTGCAGTGACTGGCAGCTCCTGCGGGTAGGGTGCCCCCTCCATCATCCTGTGGGCCGGGAGGAGGTGGCACAGGTGCTGCTCCAGCCCCAGGGGTCTTTGGTGCTCAGGAGGGGTAGGGCGTGACGTCACAGACGGTGCTGCGTGTCACCAAGGAGCAGATGCTGCCGGGTGAACGTGATGTCCCTGTGCTAGGAGGTGCTGGTGCCTGCGTGCCCTGCCTCGGGCGTAGCGCTGGTGCTTGTCCGTCCAGGCTGGGGTGGCGAATGAGCCGCAGCAGGCTGTTAGTCCTGAAAGCTCTGAAAGGCCCGCCGCTGCTGGTCTCGGCTGACACATCAGGTGCCAGGCCCAGAGTGCCGTCCAGCCCCGGGGCCAGCAGGCTGCTATGGGCAGGCGCTGGGTGCAGAGGGCTGGACACACTCCAGGGGATACACTGTGGGTGTTTGTCCATGTTTGTGTAAGAAAATAAAGTGCTGAGTGTGCTGCGGTTATTATAAAATAAACCACAGTTTCTTTAAGCAGATACCTTGAAACTGCCGTGTGTTTCTCTCTCCCCTTCCCTCCGGAAGCACTTTGACACCGACACCCAGGACCTCGCAGGGGTGGAGTGGGCCCCCAATGGCTGCGTGCTGGCCGTGTGGGACAGCTGCTTGGAGGTACAGGTGCACGCTCCGGAGCGTCCACTGCATTTCCCCGGGACTGTGCGTGTGGCGGGAGGGCCACAGTCTCCCCATCAGGCCTGGAGCCTTCCTCTGTGCTCACGAGGGAAGTGCTGGCTGCCAGCCGCACCCCTAGCTCGTGGCTGCAGCTTCTGGCACCGTGGCTCTGGCTCTACACTCCACTCCAAGGACGAGAGCCGCCTCTCTGCGCCGCCTCTGCCGGTGACCGCGCATGCCGCTGTCTCCCCTGTAGTACAAGGTGCTACTGTACTCCCTGGATGGCCGCCTGCTCTCCGTGTACTCCGCCTATGAGTGGTCCCTCGGCATCAAATCTGTGGCCTGGAGCCCCAGCAGCCAGTTCCTGGCCATCGGGAGCTATGATGGGAAGGTGGGTGACAGATGGGGTGTGGGGGCCCACTGAGCCCCCAGAGCAGGCAGAAACCTCGGGGTTTCCTCCTCAGGTACGTCTCCTGAACCACGTGACCTGGAAGATGACCACGGAGTTTGGGCACCCTGCAGCCATTAGCAACCCCAAGACAGTGAGTCTGAGCATGCTCTGCTGCACCGCGGGTGGGTGGGAGTCAGCACTGCTCTCCACACAGCCACGTGGCATCATCACGTGGCACCTGTGCCGCCCTGCACGTGCTGCTGAGACCTTAGGACATCGCCGTGCACGTTCCCTCTCGCGCTCGTTCCCTCTGTCCGTCTGTCTGTGCCCTCCCCCGCTTCTCACTCTCTCTCACAGACACGCACACCTGCCTTGTCCAGTTTTGGTTTTTTGAGTCTGGTCTTGCGCTCACCAGGTAGCCCTGGGTGGCCTCAAGCTCACAGCGGTCCTCCTGCCCTGTCTTCCCGATGGGGAGGGGTCATAGGCCTGCGCTGCTGTGCCCAGCTCATATGTCTTATGTCACTTGCAGGCTTGTCCTTGGTCCCACACCCCGGCCAGATGCCACACCCTCTGTCTGTCCTGAGGCAGATCCCTGTGTGGAAAGACAGGAGACCAGGCCCTGCCTCAAAACAGAGCACTTGCCCTGGGCTTCAGCCAGGGAAGAGAGGAGAGGACAACCAAGGAAGGGGTGTGCAGTCAGGCGTCTCCAGGGCCTCTCTAGGCAGCCCAGGCCGGGGGCCAGGAGGCCCAGGCTCCAGAGGGGGGCATGGCAGCGTGGCTGCCTGCTGGGGACGGGTGCCAGGGAGCTTTGGAGGTGATGCTCCGTGAAAACGGGTGGGCGGAGTTGCAGGGGCAGTTGTCGCAGGGCGGGGACCAGCAGCACAACCGCATGGGACAGGGCTGCAGCTTCCTGCCTCTGCCTGCGGTCTGCACCCTCGCACTGTCTGCGGCGTAAGCTGGGCTGCTGTAGGAGAGAGCCCCGGGCACAGACATCCATGCTGTGACAGACGCCTGGCCAGCTGCTGGAGGAGGGGACAGTCACTGGGGCTCGGTGGGGGGGGGGGGCAAGAGCGGGGCACCCCAGGGACCTCTCTGTGTCTGTGCTGCCCACAGCTTCCCCGTGGTGGGCCCAGGCATGGCACTGCCTGCACAGTCCCATCGCGGCTGAGCCACAGCTGGGCCCCTGGCCACGCTTAGCCGGGCAGCTTGTGGGAAGTCGGCTTCCCACCGTGTCCTCTCCACCCCTCTGCCCCATGTGCGTCATGAGCTGCCGCCCTGCCTTTCAGGTTGTGTACAGGGAGGTGGAGAAGAGCCCGCCACCAGGGCTGGGCCACCTGTCCCTCCCGCCGTCCCGAGCAGGTGCCCGGCCCCTTACCAACGCCGCTGCTTCAGAGAGCAAATGTAAGCTGCAGCCGTGGGGTGTGAGTGCTCACTTCTTCCTGTCTTGTCTTCCTTTTCTGGTCCTGGGGCTGTGAAGGCCTGGTGAACTCGTGTCCTGTCCCATGTGTCTGCTGGTGTTTCCTGGGCGGCCTCATGGCTCCTGGCTGGCCGCCCAGGCACACTGATCGGTGTCGCTGGCCTGGGCGGCACTGCTAGACGAGGAAGCGAGCCCGACTGAGCCCCAGGGGCCGGGAAAGCAGAGCTAGAGCCAGGGCAGCGGCGTGTCCCTGCCCTGGGCGAGCGTCCCGTGCCTGCTTCCTGTCCCTGCAAGGCGCAGGGAGGGTATCTGGCCCACAGGTGCTTGGGGACCTCAGCAGGGACATGCAGGGCAGCACAGCTGTGGAGTCACCTGCTTGTCGCTGCCTCTCCCCGCTCTGCTGTGCCCAAGCACCTGAGACCAGAATGCCGGGGGGACAGCGCCAAGGGCCTGCCTGTGTGCCCTCCCAACCCACCCGGTCTGCAGGGCTCCAGGAAAGCCTGACTCCATGGTGCTGCTCCACTGGAAGGGCTGGGAAGCCTGGGCCACTCTGGTGACCCAGCATGTCGTCCTCTGTTCCAGATGAGGTCGCCTCTGTGCCCATCTCCCTGCAGACCCTGAAGCCGGCTGCTGACAGGGCCAACCCCAGGATGGGTGTAGGGATGCTGGCCTTCAGTCCCGACAGCTACTTCCTGGCAACCAGGAATGGTCAGTGCCCTGCGGCGGTGTTGTGCTGTGCACTCCTGGGCCGTATGGGCTGTGGGCAGCGGGTGGCTCCCCTCTCCTGTGAGCTGGCTGCACCACCTCCAACAGCTCTGGGGGACTCGGCTTCCTCCCTTCCGCTCCTTCCTCCTCAGGAAGGAGCAGGGCCAGGACAGAGCCTGCCTGGGCCCTTTTGTCTTACACCGTCCGACAGCCCTCCCAGATGTAGAAAGCAGAGGACACGGCGCTGGTTGAGGCCCGTCTGCTCCTGCTGCGCGGCTCTTGGGTCCAGCAGGCCAGCCCAGGCCAGCAGAGCAGAGTGACAGGGGCCTCCTTTCTCTCCCTCCCTCCCTCCTAGACAACATCCCCAACGCCGTCTGGGTCTGGGACATTCAGAAGCTGAGGCTCTTCGTGGTCCTTGAGCAGCTGTGCCCCGTGCGCTCCTTCCAGTGGGACCCACAGCAGCCGCGGCTGGCCATCTGCACAGGGGGCAACAAGGTCTACCTGTGGTCGCCGGCGGGCTGTGTGTCTGTGCAGGTGCCCGGGGAAGGTGAGTGCGGCTGGCGGTGGATGCCGTCTTGGGACCAAAACCTCCACGAGACTGACGGGGAACCCCAGGGCCACTTCCTGGGGAGGCTGGAGCCCTGGGCACCTCGTCCTGGGAGCTGCCCTCCCAGGGGCCCCGGCTCCTACCCTAACCCCTGGCCACTTCCCTCTAGGTGACTTTCCAGTGCTCGCTCTCTGCTGGCATTCAAGTGGGGACTCGCTGGCCCTCCTTGGCAAGGATCACTTCTGCCTCTGTTTCCTGGAGACGAGCAAGGACGTTGGGGCAGCCTTCGGACGGCGGGACAGCTGCACGTAGGCCGGGGTGGGAAGGGGCAGGGCACAGCCCTGGCACAGAGGACGCCTGGGGTGGACTCTATTGGATTCTATTTTTCTATAACGACGCTTTTGTAAATATGTACGGTAGAAAGCTGTAGTTTTCATTACTTAAAAGTTTTGTTAATTCAGAATACCTTGCTGTTGCTGATTTTCTTCAAAGGTTCTGGTCCTCGGACGGCTTAGCAGGTTTGAACTTACTAGCTGGCCTGAGTGACCTGGGATGGCAGTGGCCACCTGTCACCCTATCACCGGACATTCAGGAAGGACGGTGACCTGCTGGGGACACTGTGGCCTCCCAGTGCAGGGTCTATTTTGGGGTGCAGGGAGCCCCAGAACCCCAGCTCTAGCAGTTGTAGGGAGTCCCCACCTGGCCACGCAGGGGCTTCAGGGGCGGGCGCACAGGCAGGCCAGAGCAGCAGGAAACAGCAGGGTGAAGCCAGGGCCACAGGTTCCTGCCAGCTGCGTCCTCAGGACCTGGCAGAGCAAGGGGACAGCTACGAAGCTCCCTGGGCCCCAGGATGGCCGCTTCCTGTCACTGTGCCCCTTGCAATGACAACTTCAGAAAGGCGTTGTTTTGGTTCTGAACGTCTTTACTACAAGCTAGAGCACAGGCTGAATACCAGAGCACTTGAGGGGCAGCCTTGCGAGGCAGGCAGGCCAGCTGTCCTGGTCATACCCACGCCAGGCAGCTTAAAGCTATGACAGCTGTAAAGGGTGATAAACCAACAAGCCAGCACTTAAACGCTGTGGTCACACGAGCAAGCTGTGTGCAGCAAGACGAGGCAGCGGGACTGGGGGAGCTACAGCGCCGGAGCCTGCAGAGGGTGGGGGTGGGGGTGGGGGCCGTGGCTTCTGTTAAAGTATACTCTTTAAAAAGCAAGCCACCCAATTCCCTTTCACAGGAATAGAAAGATACAGACTCGTTACAGCCAACTACCAAAACTGTGCCAAGAGATCAGGGTGACTGCCTGAGACTGCTACCTGGTATAGGTGCCACTCTGCAAACGCTGTGGGGCCTGGAACGATCCCTGAGCACCGACACAGCTTGGGTCCACTCTAGAAAAAGTGGCATGGGGCCAAACATTTTTCTGAGTGTTCAGGAGGGCTTGATGAGGCGCAGGCTGTGGCTGCTCGTGTTTGGCTAAAAAAACGGATTCAGTTTTAAAATATAAAGAGTGACACGAGTGTAAACGTATGCACACGGTGGTGTGGGGACACTGGGTTCCTGCCCACATCCAACTGTCCACAGGGCAGAGGAGCTGTGGTCTGCAGGCGTGGCACGCTGAGGGGTGGGCAGGGACCAGGGGCCCACGGTGCACCGGAGGCAAATGGGAACAACGTGGCGACACTGGCGGCGAGGTCCTCCCGCCTTCTTTCATGTCCTTGGGGGTCCAGACTCAACACATATAACTGCTCACTGTGCCCAGCTCCCCAGCCCTCCCCACAGCCGCGTGTGCCGGGCACAGCCGTCTAAAAGCCTATCTTGCCCCGGGTCATGGAGTAGCCCAGCTTGGCCTCGTTGTTGATGAAGGACATCAGCCCCACGTAGGTCTCGATGAGCAGCGGGCGCTCCAGGACCAGCACGCTGCTCGCCCGGCCGGGCACAGGGTCTTCCTTCTGGGCCTTCTTCACAGCTTGGATTAACAGAGCCTTGAAGCTGTCCAGCTGGGAAGAGAGAACATGCAGCCTTAGTCTTCAGCTGGGAGAGGGCCACCTGCAGCACGGGACGAGCTGCATCTGGGGACATGTAAATCCTTCCCAAGTTCACAGTCGCTCACGTCACCAGATGAGGATGCACAGCCGCACAGTGAACGGTGAGGCTGCTGCCGGTGAACCATAACCAAGCCCGAGTACTTTCTTAGTAGGAGAGTCATAGATGGAGTAGCAAAAGGGCGGCGGGTGCCGCCAGCAACAGCGCACACCTCCTGCTGCACGGTACACGCACTGTGGGAGCTGCTCGTGCCGCCCTCTCCCTCCTGTGGCGACGGGGGGCACTTGCACCCCAGCAGCCCCCCAGGCATAGGAGTGATGGGGGTGTCACGAGGTGACGAGCTGCAGGGCCCTTTGTCTGTGGCAGTGGCAGTGGCAGTGGCAGCGGCAGCAAACCTAGGGCACATGTGCAACTGCACTTTTAAGGCTAAAGGTTCTGACACAGTTGTGTTTTCTAATCTAAAACCTCAGCATTCAGGCTCTGCGATACCCAAGCGGGTTTGGGGCTGCAGTCCGGCGCCTGGTCTACAGGGTCCGCTATCACTGCCCGACAGGAACAGCACCCTGCACGAGAAGTCACTGCACAGCGGCACATGACTGCACTCCTGCTGAGGCCGATCGTCCTCCTGTGACCAACGCCTGCCAGTGTGGCCATCCCTGGCACAGGGCCTTCAGGAGCTTGCCGGCTAGTCTCCTGCCGTGGCACTTACTTGGGACACGGTCAGCCACACGCAGGACCGAGTGGCTGCTCCACATCCACCTGCCCACCCGAGCCCCCAGGTCAGCAGGCCCCCACACGCTGGCTCTGCTCCAGCCTGACCCCGAGGTAGGTGAATGCACACTGAGCACCTCAGCCTGGCCGGGGTCCCTGCTGCCCCTGCACGGGTCTCAGCCCCAAGGACTGTGTAGCCAGCAGCTGCCAGCCAGCATTACAAGCTCACTTGTGCACGTCACTCTGTCTCAAGGGCTTATCAGCCACCCTTCTGGAAAGCGCGGACCTGGACCCTGCACCCCACCAGCACATGATGGCCCCACGTTGCCCGGGGACTGCTCACGTGGCACAGAGTCGCTGTCTTCTCATCCACGCCAGCCATCGGGTGCTCAATGAACGTGGCATAGGGCACATTCGTGGACCAAGGATTCCATCTGTTTATGAAGGAAGGACGACTCTGCTTGTCCCACTGAATGCGAACCCCGCAGCCTTCGCGCCTGCCAAGTAAGGAGAAAACTACGTGAACGCAGCAGGCACAGGGTTAGGCTGGGACTGCCCGGCTACGCTGTGTGCACAGCCAGGATCCGGGGAGTCCCCGGTGGGTAGCGGCTGCTGGCTTCAGGGGTGACTGCGGTCCTCACCAACAACTGCTTTAAATATCATCCGTGCCTTGAGCGAGCCCGGGCTGGTCCTCACCTCTTAATTCTGTCTCAGCCTTGCCTGGCACCACAACGTCCCAAGTACTTTAAACAGGACAGATACATTCAATGTCTTGAGTTACCCTAAACTTCATCTTTGCATCCTTGTTTAAAATTAATGAGAATGTTCTGCTGATAGTCTAGTCAGATCAGTCATTTTGTTTTAGTAATCACCCTACTAAATGTTAGTCAAAATTTGTACTCATTAGTGTGGTTTGATCCTACGTGTGTCCTGAACTCAGGCTAGAGGCTTGGTCCTGACCGCTGGCAACGGTGCCAGGTGCTGGCACCATTGCCAGGGCCTAGTGGAAAGAAATCAGGTCACGGGGGCTTTGTCCTTTATGAGATCAGGGGACCCGAGCGTTCTGCCCCTGCAGGCCCCAAGCAACCATGGACTTACCCTGTGAGCCCATGTAAGTCTCCTCGGGTGACCTCAGGCATTCCGTCATAGTGACGGAAAGCAAACATCTCCTCCCCAACCTCCACAGCTGACCTCTGCAATAGACAGCGACTGTTGCTTGTAGCTAGCATTCTTGTTTCAAAATGTTCTTTTTTTTTTCTTTTTTTTGCGGAACCGGGGATTGAACTCAGGCCCTTGCGCTCATTAGAGGCACTTATTCCACTGAGCCATCTCCCCAGCCCCAACATTTTTTTTTTCTTTGCAGAACCAGGGATTGAACTCAGGCCCTTGCAAGTGCTTATTCTACTGAGCCATCTCCCCAGCCTTCAAAATGTTCTCCTAAACCAAGATGTCACACGCCAGGCAATGTGGTGGCGGTCTACAATCCCAACACCCTCACTGATGGGAAGGGAACCAAGACAGATTCTAGGACCAAAGAAGGGGAATCGCTGCTATGGAGGAGTCTGGAAAGGTTTGGAGACGCAGACTGGAGAAGCAGCCCCGGCATGCTGTAGGCCAGGCTGGTTGAGCCATTCTGGTCTGAGCTTAGAAGAGAGAAAAGCAGCAGGAGACATGAGGCTCAGGGGTCCTGGGGGAACAGAGGCGCCACTGGAAACTGCTGCAGACCCTGTGGTAGCTCTGGCGAAGATGCGCCTCCACGCCGCTCATGGGACTTCCGGGGCACCAGGGGTCCAGTGCTGGCTGGTCTGGCAGAGGGAATTCAAGGAAGCCTACTGAAGCTATGGCACAGGGTACTGGGGGCACGGGTCCAGACGGTGTTGAGAATCATGAGTTGAACGATTTTAAGGTTTTAGTGTGGCAAGAAAGGAAGCTCCAGTAAAACTGGGGCCTCTAAAGACAGAACAGACAGCTTGGTGGATAAAAATATTAGCACTAAAAAGAAGCCGAGTACTTAGGGTTTGGGCAGCAGATGTCTTAAGGACATGGAGGAACTGTGGAAGCCCTCGCCCTGTACAGAGTCAGGGGTGGACTGAAAGGCGTTGCTCTGTGAAGAGCCCAGGACACCGTGGCCAGAGGGCAGCGGTCTCGGGTGGGAATGCACTCCCGGGCTCAGTTTCTCTTGCTCAGCCATCCAGGCTCTCGGAGGCCTCCACAACCAGTCAAGACCCAGGGGGGCCCAGCTAGGGCTCCACCTGGCGCAGACCGAGGCGTCATCCTCACTGTGCTCATTTTACATGCACGCAAAAGGCAAGAATCACGGGCCAGCGAGACTCCCATTCAGCTCTCAGAACAGGGGCTGGGGGTCAGGGAGCGCGCCCCCGAGAGGGCAGCGTGTGCAGCTGTGAGTGTGAGGCCAGAAGTGCACTGGGGACCACAGCGAACTGGAGAAGCCAGGAACACAGAACAGCTGAGAAGCCGCAAGCAGCAAGGAAAGCCAGTCCAAGACGGAAGCTGCGGGGGCCACAGGCACCAGCAATGCCACAGAGGTGGGCTGTTCAAGCCCTGTGCAGTTTCCTTCTTGACACAGAATGCCCCCGTGCTAGACGTGAAACTGGGGGGCTTAGTGTCTGCCCCGCGGGGTTTGTCTTGCTGTGGTCCTGTTCCTTCCTCTCCCCACCATTTTTCCCTGGTGCAATGGGAGTATTACTGTGTGCCTTTAAGCACCAGGAGTGCTTAACTTCATTCTTTCTTTTAGTTTTAAAGGAGCTGATGGTAAAGTGTTTGCTTTAAAACTCAAGAGATTTTGGACTTGGAACTGTAATGCCTGAACTGCCAGGAGTTTGACAGTTCTTACAGATAGACTAAATGCATTATGCATAAAAAGATGTACGTGTGTCTTTTGGAGATAAGGGACAACATGACGTGGCTTGTATGGAGAAGCACCCTCCAAAGCCTCGTAGGCTCACTGGTGGGCTTCTAGGAAGTGACCAGATCCTGAGGTGATGCTCACCCATGCACTGGCCCACAGCGGAGTTTTTAGCTACATGGGCTGCTGGGATGTGACACGGGCGGAAGGAGGTGGGTCTTGGTGTGGCCTGGGGCAGGGGACTGCCCTGGCTGTCCCTTGGATCCCTTTGCTTCCTGCAGCCCTACCAGGAAGGTGTTTTCTTCTGCGATGCCTCTCCAGCTTTTTTTTTTTTTTTAATATTTATTTATTTATTTGTTTATTTAGTGTGTGTGTGGCCAGCTCAGCCCACCAGGGGGCGGGCCTGGCTGGCATGTGGTGCTGGGGATTGAACCGTGGTCCCTGTGTTTTGCTTAGCTTAGCTTGTTCTAAGTAGGTGCTTTAGACCACTGAGCCATCTCACCAGCCCGCCTCTCCAGCTTCTTAGCCTGCTCTGGAGCCAATGGACTATGGACCAAGATCCCCATCAACTGGAAGCCAAAGTAAACCTCTCCTCTAAAAAAATAAAGTCAATTCTTGGAAGCTGACCAACATTTTGAAGTGTACTTGACCTACTTTGTGACACCTACAAATTACAGAGGTGCCTTACCTCTTTTTCTTCAAACTAAGGCAGAAAAACACTGAGCGAGGCCGTGTGGTCCTTTCTGGGTGGGAGCCGTAACACCCTTA